TTAGATAGGTATAGAGATAATGAACAGACTGAGATAGATAGATAGATAGATAGATAGATAGATAGATAGATAGATAGATATTAATTGAAAATAACTGACATATAGATATAAATTGATTAAGATAGATATGAAAGGACTGAGATAGATAGATAGATAGATAGATAGATAGATATTAATTGAAAACAACAGACATAGATATAAATTGATTAAGATAGATATGAACAGAGTGAGATAGATAGATAGATAGATAGATAGATAGATATTAATTGAAAATAACAGACATATAGATATGAATTGATTAAGATAGATATGAACAGACTGAGATAGATAGATAGATAGATAGATAGATAGATAGATAGATAGATAGATAGATATTAATTGAAAATAACAGATATATAGATATAAATTGATTAAGATAGATATGAACAGATTGAGATAGATAGATAGATAGATAGATAGATAGATAGATAGATAGATAATGAACAGATTGAGATAGATAGATAGATAGATATTAATTGAAAATAACAGACATATAGATATAAATTGATTAAGATAGATATGAAAGGACTGAGATAGATAGATAGATAGATAGATAGATAGATAGATAGATAGATATTAATTGAAAATAACTGACATATAGATATAAATTGATTAAGATAGATATGAAAGGACTGAGATATATAGATAGATAGATAGATATTAATTGAAAATAACTGACATATAGATATAAATTGATTAAGATAGATATGAAAGGACTGAGATAGATAGATAGATAGATAGATAGATAGATAGATAGAAGATAGATAGATAGATATTAAAAAATAACAGACATATAGATATAAATTGATTAAGATAGATATGAAAGGACTGAGATAGATAGATAGATAGATAGATAGATAGATAGATAGATAGATAGATATTAATTGAAAATAACTGACATATAGATATAAATTGATTAAGATAGATATGAAAGGACTGAGATATATAGATAGATAGATAGATAGATAGATAGATAGATAGATAGATAGATAGATAGATAGATATTAATTGAAAATAACTGACATATAGATATAAATTGATTAAGATAGATATGAAAGGACTGAGATAGATAGATAGATAGATAGATAGATAGATAGATAGATAGATAGATAGATAGATATTAATTGAAAATAACAGACATATAGATATAAATTGATTAAGATAGATACGAAAGGACTGAGATAGATAGATAGATAGATAGTTAGATAGATGGATAGATAGATAGATATTAATTGAAAATAACTGACATATAGATATAAATTGATTATGATAGATATGAAAGGACTGAGATAGATAGATAGATAGATAGATAGATAGATAGATAGATAGATAGACAGACAGACAGACAGACAGACAGATAGATAGATAGATAGATATTAATTGAAAATAACAGATATAGATATACATTGATTAAGATAGACATGAACAGATTGAGATAGATAGATAGATAGGAACGAAAGAAGGAAGAAGCCCATCACTAATGTTTAAATGGACAAGAAAAAGAAAATTTTAAAAATTGCAATATTGACTTTAGGAATTGGCAAACACTTTCTCTTAGCATCAATTCAACTGACCACCGTAAGATTTTTTTTTTAATCATTTCAACCCAAACAATGTGAATTGACTTTTGTAATGTAACGAACTCGGCTGGAATTCGAACTCGATTCTCCGATTTATCATTCCAAGCACTTATCCATGTGCTGGTTAGCCCAACGTAAAATTCACGAATATAGCCGTCAATGGCATTCATCCCAAGAATTGAAAACCAGTTTACATTGTGGAAAGGCTTCAATAACCCGAGGTCAATTATGCAGATTGTACGACACCCTGCAAGAACCAATTTGTTAAGTTATATATCATCAGGTAGTTGTTGAAATTTAAGATATACAAACATTTCTTCGGCATTCTGTAAATGGTCTTAGAATTTTGCAAAATTAAGCACGGATTACATATTTTGGGCTGAAACAGACCAGCTCATACTTACAATCGTTGTGGACGATATAAGAAAAATACTATCTGACTGTACTAAGTAAACTATACCAAGACAAAGTATATATTCATAGATTTCACAAGGTTATTTAGGCGAAAGTGATTCAAACAATGCTCGCAATATTTTGCCCACTGCACTACATGCAGACCTGTACAATAACTTAAATGAAATATGTCGAATATTTAATAAACTATATCTATATACTTAGGTTTTATTTTTTCTTACTAATCCCTTTTTATAACAGAAGAATAAGTTTACACGCAAAATAAAGAATTTCTCAAAAAAAAAAAAAAAAACGCTTAATTCATGACGTTACATGGTATCTAAAAAATGGATTGAAATCTTATTTTAACAGATATATTTACCAAAATTTGGGAACTTGACGTTGTATAATGGTTGGCAATCACGACTGAGTATTGAGTTCGATCCTTACTACGTGCCTCATGCTTTCGACCTTGTGCCACACCTAAGCTGTACTTAGAAAATCTTTTGAGAACCCCGAGTCGGTGTAATGGTTAGCAAGCTTGTCTCGTTAGAACAATTACGACTGAGTAGTGAGTTCGATCCTCAATGGGTGCCTCATGCTTTCGGCCTTGTGCTAGATCTAAGCTACGCTTGGAAATACGCTATATTTACCAAAATTAAAAAAAAAATATCTTGAAATACTTAAGAGTGTATTTATTCAATAAAATTGCCATTGGCTTCAACCACGGTCTCCAGACGACTTCGGAATCTCTTGCAACTCTTCTGGACGATCTCCCTGTTTAAGTTGGGAAATACTGCCATAAACATTGATTTCAGTTGATCTTTGGTAGTAGAAAGAATTTTGTTGGCCCCTCCCTCAGACATAATAATCAAGGGTTTGCAGTCTGGAGAGATATCTGGCCAGTTGTAAGGGGTGATGTGGTCACAGAAATTGTCTGACAGTCATGATTGGGTTCTCCTGCTTGAGTGGCATGCTGCAGAGTCCTATTGCCAGATATAGGATCTCCCAGTAGCCACCCTCTTGACTCAGGGCAGCACTACCTCTTCGAGTTATTTGGCCGTCTTGGGTAAGACGATAAACTACGTTCAACAGCAAGGCCTTTGATCAGGCAACTTTGAGGAGATGCAACGACCTCTTAATTGCTGGTGTTCCCAGGTCCACCCTGATCCGAGGTGGTAGCACCTGTTAGGGTTCCAGCTATGGGCAAATAGTTAACCCTGAAACTGAGGTCAAAACACTATGAAAGTGTAAAAATAGATTTTAATACGAGAAATACTTTTGTAAATAAATTATTGTCAGCAATACATTTTTTAAGAAAACAATATTACCAAAAATAGATTTATGAAGGAAAAAAATATTAGCAGCAACAAAAATTTTGTCGGCATTAAATAACCCATTCAGGTTGATATGCCGTAAAACAAACCAAACCAAACCAATCAAGAAATTTGATGTAGAGCTCTGTGTTGAGTCTGTGACCCTCACTAACAGATTATGGAGCGCTTTTCTTATCTGAAACATCAGAGAAAGTTTTCCGAGCTAATGTACCTTCGTAATCGCCATTAGTCATATCAAACTATTTTTGTATCTTCTACACTATCCTGAAATTGACATGCAAACACACTAAAATGTTTGTATTGGAGCTTACGAAGCGAATTTTTAGCAGTACAGCATGGCATTTCCAAATTTCTGCCGAAGTGTCATTGAACTTTTTTTTTCACAGTCTTGAACTGACTCTACTGTGCAGTCAAAAAATCAAAAGCAAACAACGCGCATGCGCAAAATTAAATTAAATAAAATGGCTACAATTTTTCCCAGCGCACCCTCTCTCTCTCTCTCTCTCTATATATATATATATATATATATATATATATATATATATATATATATATATACTATGTAGTAGAGTAGAGGGGATATAACAGTAAAGAGATAGATCAAGTATCCACCATCATAAATACTGAAAATAAAATTGACAAAGATTATTGTTTAAGGTTGACGGACACGCATGTCTTAATTAGTTTTTTTTTTTTTTTTTTTTACGAATTGGTCACACCCAAACTCAAACAAAAACATTGTTTTCAATCGTTATGAGTCTCCCGACTGAATAGAATTTTATAAACAATTGTCTTGTAAATGTAATTTTTAAAGCATTCTGAATGTAAAAATAAAGAAAAAAGTGTGCAAGACCATAAGAAATGCCAAAAAAAAAGTGAAGTTTTGTTGAAATCGGTTGAAAAATGTAGGTAGCCTTTCTGTAATCTTTTAGTTTTACAATTTATGATTTTTACTTATTGAATACAGTAATAAAAATTGCATATTTTGCTTGTGGTGATTCATAATTAGAATTCTGATTTGAATATATTTTCCACTCGTTGTTTCTAATACAAAAAATATTAACTTTAATTGGGTTTATTAATTATGATCTAACAAATCTTATTCATTTAGTAGCCTTCTCTGTAATAATAATCTTTTAAAATTTATGATTTTTATTTATTGAATACAGTAAAAAAATTGGACACCATGTGTATTTAAAGTAGTTTCCCGTTCCGGTTATTATTTTTAGTTAGGACTTGTGTATGTTTAGATTTCATTATCTTTCCCTAAAGATAAAGAATTTATCCGATGTTTGTATTCGTACAATCAGTAGAGATCGTTAGATTATTGTTTAAGGTTGACGGACACGCATGTCTTAATTAGTTTTTATTTTTTTTATTTTTTACGAATTGGTCAAACCCAAACTCAAACAAAAACATTGTTTTCAATCGTTATGAGTCTCCCAATTGAATTAAATTTTAATATAAATAATTGTCTTGTAAATGGAATTTTTAAAGCATTCGGAATGTTAAAAATAAAGAAAAAAGTGTGCAAGAGAATAAGAAACACTACCTGTCAAAAAAAAAAGAAAAAAAAGTGAAGTTTTGTTTTATCGGCTGAAAAATATAGGAAATCTGCTCCCATATTTAAAGGAACCCACACACACAAACAACCCGATGTGAGTTGTCCCCCTTCCATATTCACGATGTCTCTTAATCGTGTTTTCAAATTGATTTTGAGCAAATACAATTATATTTTTTCCCATTTTTGGTGCTGTTAGAACCAACACAAGATAATTTTATGTAGTCCTGTGAAGTTTGTTGAAATTGGTTGAAAAATGTAGGAAATCCGATCCAATATATAAACATTACAGACACACACACACACAATCTGCGTTTTTATAATAAGTAATTTTATATATATATATATATATATATATATATATATATAAATTATAAATACTATATATATATATATATATATATATATATATATATATATATATGACGTCACGTCAAGCTAAATGACGGTTCCATATAGGATACAGGTTTATTTTAACTTGATGTGACGTTATATATATATATATATATATATATATATATGACGTCACCTCAAGCAAAATGACGGTTCCATATAGGATACAGGTTCGAATCCTGTCTGAGGACGAATATTTTCTGTGAAAATTACTCGGACATTTAGATCGATAAATGTTCAATACTGTTTATTGTAAACAGAGCATTTACTTAAATATTTGTATCTATAAAAAAATGTATAAAGATAAAAATGTCTTAATATATATATATATATATATATATATATATATATATATGTCTTAATAGAGAAATGTATCCGTAAAAGAACGAACAGAATAAAATGAAAAGAGAAAAACTCTTCTTCGCCGACGCGTTTCGTTCTCCGAAGAACATTATCAAGAGTACTGATGAAGTCCCACAGATGACGAACCCGGTGGCTAAGAATAGTTTTACTTCTTGTCTTTTTTTACATATATTTTTTTATCACTTCACCTTAAACAAGGCAGGAATGCGAATAGTACGCAGGGGTTACAGAGATTGAAAATGAAGAAAAAGTTTTGGAAAAGGCGGTTGGATTGATGAAAGGATCACAGATGAATGTTATTCAGGAAGATAGAAGATGACGAATGATGTTGCATTTAGATTTTTGATGATTGCAGATTGTCAGAGAGGGCAGTAATCGGAAGGGAGATCACAGACGAGAAGTGCGAGAAAAGAATCTGTTGGATAAAAGTGACAGTTACATTTAACTATTTCAACAGTAAATCGGTGGGACATAGATACCAAACTAGTAGCACGTTTCAAATCATGCCGTAAGATCACCACCGAATGTAGCTTGTCAGATCATATACCATGAAAATATATACAGAGGGAAGCCACTTCACGACGAAATGACAAATCATTCATGCACAAACAGACATATATATATATATATATATATATATATATATATATATATATATATATATATATATATATATATGTTGTGTATATATATATATATATGTGTGTGTGTGTGTGTTTGCGCATGAATGCTTGAGATGAACTTTTCATACGAGTGTTCTATGACAACCAGTCTACCTACGATATCTTTCTTACCTTCCATAATATACACTTGCATCTGTTTACAAAATATGAATACAAGTTTGCGCATGCGCATTTGCGTGAGCATACATGTGCGCATGTCCGCCTTGACGCAGCATTTTTTTAATTTTTTCAGGAAGGCCAAAAGCCGAGCTTTTTGTTGTAATTTGTTCTTTCTTTAAAAAAAAAATAAAAAAAAATAAAACAAAAATAAAAAAGGAAGCAGATAAAAAAGCCAGAATCAATTTTGCATCTGCAACGCGTTCTTGTCATCTTCGAATAACCTTGGTGCCGTCTTCTACTTCCTGTAACCAATTCATTTTCCAAAACTGATTCTTTGTCTTCTTCGTTTTCCTCTCCCATGGCCTACAATTATTCGAGTTTTTTTTCTTTAATTTTATTTTTTATTTTGTAAAATATTGTTTATATTTCCATCACCGTTTTTTTTTAATCCTTTTCTCTTTTTAAACCTTTAATGTTTTTTTAGGTTTTATGCTTATGGCTGCCGAACACCCGACCAATCAGAGCATCAACTCTCTTTCTTTTCATCTCTCTAGCTCTCCTTCATTCTTACAAACACTTTCATGATGTACACATTTTTACCCTCTTTCTGCAATCACCATTGTCCATTAGCCATATCTGTCGGTTTGTCTCCAAATCAAATTCAAACTTATCTTTTCGTGTCGCTCTGTCACTTCTTATAATAAAGTTCCTTCCTTCCTTCCTTCCTTCCTTCCTTCCTTCCTTCCGTCCACCTTCCCTTCGTTTCTTTCTTTCTTTCTTTCTTTCTTTCATCTCCCGTTAAATATATTAATCTTTTTTCTCGATTCATTCCTTCTTTTTCCGTTATTACACATATTCTATTTCTCTATTTACGTCCATATCTTTGTATTTTTCTTATTATCTATCTATCCTCTATCCATCAATCTGTTCATTATATATTTATCTATCACAGTCAATTTATATTTATCTAAATATCTGCGTGTGTTATTTTTCTTATATGTATCTATGTATCGCAGTTAATTTCTATCTATCTATCTATCTATATCTATCTATCTATCTATCTATCTATCTATCTATCTATCTATCTATCTCAGTCTGTTCATATCTATCTTAATCAATTTATATCTATATGTCTGTTATTTTCAATTAATATCTATCTATCTATCTATCTATCTATCTCAGTCTGTTCATATCTATCTTAATCAATTTATATCTATATGTCTGTTATTTTCAATTAATATCTATCTATATCTATCTATCTATCTATCTATCTATCTATCTATCTATCTCAGTCTGTTCATATCTATCTTAATCAATTTATATCTATATGTCTGTTATTTTCAATTAATATCTATCTATCTATCTATCTATCTATCTATCTATCTATCTATCTCAGTCTGTTCATATCTATCTTAATCAATTTATATCTATATGTCTGTTATTTTCAATTAATATCTATCTATCTATCTATCTATCTATCTATCTATCTATCTATCTATCTATCTATCTCAGTCTGTTCATATCTATCTTAATCAATTTATATCTATATGTCTGTTATTTTCAATTAATATCTATCTATCTATCTATCTATCTATCTATCTATCTATCTATCTATCTATCTCAGTCTGTTCATATCTATCTTAATCAATTTATATCTATATGTCTGTTATTTTCAATTAATATCTATCTATCTATCTATCTATCTATCTATCTATCTATCTATCTATCTATCTATCTATCTCAGTCTGTTCATATCTATCTTAATCAATTCATATCTATATCTTATTTTCAATTAATATCTATCTATCTATCTATCTATCTATCTATCTATCTATCTATCTATCTATCTCAGTTTGTTCATATCTATCTTAATCAATTTATATCTATATGTCTGTTATTTTCAATATCTATCTATCTATCTATCTATCTATCTATCTATCTATCTATCTATCTATCTATCTATCTCACTCTGTTCATCTATTAATATATATCTATATGTATCTTATTTTCAATTCCTATCTATTTTTTACTGTTTTTCTATTTCATTCTTTTTATAATCCTTTTTTTTTTCTTTTTCATTAATTTATCATCCTTTCCTCCTTCTTTCATTTTTTTCTTTGATTCATTCTCTGTTTTCTTTTTTTTTCTTTTTTTCCTTACCTTTCCAAATCTTTTCATATTTGGTTTTATCATTTAACTCATTCATATCATTTCTTTTTGTTTGTTGGTTTTTATTATTGCTTCTTTATTTATTTAGTGATTTATCTCTATTTTCCTCTTTCCGTTTTCCTCTATCATTCCTTTGTTGTTTTTTTTCTTCTCAATCCCATACCTTTTCTATGTCTCCCTCTTCTTTTTCACCACTTCTTTTTCACCACTTCTGTCCTTCATTTTCACCAACATTATTATTTGTTCCTCACATTTCTTCCCTCCACATATTCGAGGCTTTTCACTGCTCCAGTACCCTTCTCCCGACATCTGCTTTCATTCCACCTCTCGCTATGTAAAATTTTATTTCATGCAGCGACGAATCATCCATCATTACTGTAAACATTATTAAATGTGTGCACGTGTTTGAGCAGACGTCCCGTCACTTTTTTTCTTTGAAACCTTGAGAGTAATACTTACCAAACTAGATATTAAGTAGTGTAATTGAACCTTGTTTTGCTCTAATAGCTTCCGGTAGCTTAATTGTAAACATCCCTAGATTAAACATAGTTTTTCAATTAAAGTCGGCACGCAGTTTAGATTTCTGTCGGGACATATATTTTGTTTAAGAAGACTTTCGATCTATAGGCCGGTAGATATTAATATCACTATTGAAAACAAGGTCTCTGATCGATAGATTTTGAAGAGTGTGGAACATCCTTTTAATTGCTGTTGTTCTTAGGTATACCCTGATCTGATATTTCCCAGGTATGGGCAAATAACGAATAAATCACATTTAGATTAATAAGACTCCAGATATATTCATCTCTCGTATGGACATTTCCAAGTTTATATTTGCTAAATTTCTCATTTCATAAGTATTTAGGGTTTCTTTTTAATTCGACATTATTACTTCTGACAATAATCATTATTTGTACTGAGTACACGTATTCAGGGATACATTCTTGTTATTATTTAAACATTGTAATGGATATTATGACGGTCTTTGGAAAATCCTTTGAAATTTAATGTAGATAACAGAATTATCCAAGTCATCCAGGCCTTATATAATGATGCCACCAGCTCAGTTATTCTGGGAAGAAAAATGGGAGGACTCTTCCGGACAATTGTCGGCGTGAGGCAGGGGTGTGTACTTTCATCCACATTGTTCAAACTATTTCTACAAAGAATCATGAAAGAAAACCTAAACTACCACGATCCTTCACTCTCTATCGATGGTAGATCCGTCTGTGGGCTACGTTTTGCAGACGACATTGACCTCATAGCATGTAGTAACAGTAAGCTCCAGGACTTGACCAACCAACAAACCTTTTGAAAGAGCAGGATCATATTGAATGTAGGTCAGATCCGAGTAATCCAAAGTAATGTTGAATAACACAAACAGTTACACGTGTGCCAACATTACGAAAATGGAAATTCACTGAAGGAAGTGTCCAGTTTTAAATGCTTGGGAGCAATCCTGTATAAAGATGGTACATACAGTTTGGAAATCCGTACACGGATTGTCGCAGCCATGGCAGTAATGGCCAAATTGGCAGGAATATCTCAAACGAAAAACAGACTTTACAAATTGATGGTAGTCCCCATTCTTCTATATGGATGTGAAACGTGGATACTGTTGGCGGGGAAATAAAGAGAAGTATCCAAGCATTTGAGTACAAATGCTTGAGAAAACCCCACGGCATCTTCAGTTGGGAACACAAAACCAATGAGTTTGTGCGGAAACAAGAAACCTCTTGTCGCCACTGTCAATCGGAGAAAAATGGTGTGGTTTAGACACGTTACAAGGCACGACAGCTTGCGCAAGACATGCAAGACACCGTTGAAGGTAGACGTAGGAGAAGGCGACACCGTATAAAACTGTTTGGACAATGTCAAACAATTAACAAATATGACTATACCAGAATTGCTGATGGCTGCTGTTGATAGACCGTTGGGGAGTAGATTCAATATGGCTTCTGCATTCGGATCCTCCCCTACGATTACGAAAGTCAAGGAGATGATGATGATGATGATGATGATTGAATGAATGAATATTTATCGGCCTATAGGTTGAATGTTTTTACAAAAGAACGTAAGCCTTCCGATGGAAATCGTTATTGTATACAATTTTAATCGGATAAATTACTTCAAAGCCAGGCGTGTTTGATCCCGACCAAAATTCTCCTCATCAAAAAAAAAAAAAAAGAAGCATTTCAAGCTTTTAATATGTAAGCTTGCTCGACAAGTTCTTAGCGGCGATCATACGGTAAAAAAAAAAAAATTTAAAAGAGTAAAAGAATGATTCCATCTTTGGTAACGATGTTGATAATGGGTGTGGTGTGATCAAAAAGTATAGAGCCTGTTGCTATCGAAAGAAAACTGAAACACATGTCAGTTCAGTATTTAATCATCTGAGAAGTATTCTTCTTCTGAAACTACATAATTTATCCAACACCTGCTTATTGTCAGCAACATCGACCCTGATGAAAAACATGATTATGCAAGACATCTGTTACTTACTGGCAAAAGGATGATTAAAATGCAATGCATGTTGGGAGGTTCATTTTCTTCAATAAGACTTTAGCCTGGTAGACATTAATTTCACTGTTTAATCAAACAATAAGATTTGTATTAAAAAGTAACGTAAGCGAAAAATATCCTTAATTGCTTAAAATTATTATTCCCTTATTTAAACATTGCTACTTAAATAAGTTCTTTTTAAAAATAAATGCAAAACAAATTAAGTACGTAAAACTACCAAAAGTAGTGTATCCATAGCAATAATCGTGTGTCTAGGGTAGACTTTTCCTTTTCCCAAACTGGTTGCTTTAGGGAAATAGAGTGAAATTGAACGCAATGAACGAGTAGAAATTTGAACCCGCAGCCACTGATTACTTTTTTTCCCGAGCTTTTAAGAATCGACTATCAAGAAAATATGGTGCTTTCTAAAAACTTAAGAGGATTTGAACACCGTTGTGTTCATTTGAATTATCCAGGTTTCGCAGGATAATTTCGCAGGATAATTTCGCAGGATAATTTCGCAGGATAATTTCGCAGGATAATTTCGCCCTCTATCGCAACCTAATCCCTATCCGCTTTCCTCTTTGGAAATTCCACTTTACGAATTTAAATTCAGAGAACTAGATCGGCAGGTAGATCTCCATATTTGCATTGAAATGTAACTGTAAGTTCTATGCTAAAATATCGTATATATTTATAAGTCTACATCGATCCTGAGATAAAATAGAGGATCAGAAAAAACCGACTCGCCAAGCTGCGTCCAACACCCGCACACCTCTGTGACTCCTGTTCACGATTCTTCAGTTGTAGGCTTGGATTTCACGGCCATTTCCATCACCGCCATGAGAGGGATGAAAAGGAATAGAGAGAGAGAGGGGTTCATGCTCCCGATGCCCGGATATGAACGAATGCTGACGATATATCTATCATTCGTTCAACTTTGAACATTGCGGCTATTTTATGAATCTTGTGTTCCTGCTATATATTTAGAGATCCTTGATAAAACCAAAGAAGAAGTCATTGGTTCTATCCTGAGCTCTCCGCTTCAGTCAGATTCACAATCGCCGTAACGCAGTTTCCATCTACCTTTTCTTTAAATAATTTCATCTGATAACTTTTTCTTTTAAGTGCATTAAATTCTTGAAGTTAAGCCCAGTACTAGATTGGCGGCAGGGTCTCATCATTTTAACAGTAAAAAGGGCTAGATGTAAACGTAAGTTCTATGTTAATAGTTTCTCGCACTTCTTTCCTGTGGAAATCTATTCCGGCTTCTTGCTTTTCAATCACGTTTGATCTTCAAAAACTTACATGAAATGCAGACCGTTTTGTCTTTTTAATTACCGTTCTTTACTTTTTCTCATATTCGTTCCCAGTCAGTAATCCTTTGAGTCTTTGTGATATTACCACCATCTTAGCAGAGAAATGATTAAAAAAAAATATGTTCTCGTTTATCAGAAGCACATTTTTAACGGCTATTGAAGCATCACTTTTAAAGTTATTATTTCGGTTTGCGTTGTTGTAAATAATTTTGCATTAAATTTAGATGAATTATTTTCAATATTAGTTTTTTATTGATTTGTTACGTATTTTGCGGGACGTTTTTTATCAAAGTTATTTGTGTTAATTCCAATTAATTTTTATGGATTTTGTAAGCGTTCCGTTTCTTGATATATATTCACAGACATGACAGAATTGTATAGACACCAAGATAAATTTTTTTTCTGATTTTTTTTAATAACCAAGATAAATTAACTTAGATTATTTGATTAAAATTGCAGATAACAATACTGGAACATGTCACGAACCAAAGGAGCATCAGACCTATCCGAATTTCAGTCAGGACGTATCGTGGGCCAACATGAAGTGTGTCTTAGTCAAAGAAAAATATCTGAAAATCTTTCATTATCCCTTTCTACTGTTAATAGAGTGATCGTACAATTCATCAGAGAGGGCAAGAAATGCACAAAACCTCATCCAGGCCGCCCTGGACCCTCTGAAAGAACCATGCGTCTTGTCGAAAGAAATGTTGAACAGGATCCATATTGCAAGGCCTATGACATAGCAACACAAGTTGATGTCAGTCCCAGAAGAGCTGTCAGGCATCTTCACAAGCTGGGCTACTATGGCAAAGCTGCGAGAAGGAAACCACTTCTCCGTCCATCCAATATCAAAAGCAGAAAGGATTGGGCTCATGAGATGGTGGAGAGACCTGTGACCTTTCAGACCCCTGTCAGTTTCTCTGATGAGTCAAGATTCGCACTATTTTCTAACAGTGGAGGAGTATGTGTATGGAGACTCTGTAGTCAAGAGTTTGATTTAAAAAGACTGCAGCCAACGGTGAAACATAGGGGCCTTTCAGTAATGGTATGGGGTGCAATTTGGAGTGATGGTCATTCAGAGCTTGTGGAGTGTGAAGGAAACATTAATTCAACCAAAATGTTTCTATATTAAAGAAAGGGCTCATTCCAATATTCTCAAGTAGTAGAATGAACAAAGTTGACTCCCTATTTATGGAAGATGGAGCTCCATGTCACACTGCTCAAGCAACGCAACATTGGTTGAGATAAAATGGGATCAATAAACTTCCATGGCCAAGTCAATCCCCGGATATTAGCCCTATTGAACACCTTTGGGGCATATTATATCGAAAACTCCGCAAAAAGAACAGGAAGCCATCTTCTAAGCCTGCACTTTTAGGATTATTGCATCAAACATGGCAAGAAATCCCTCAAGATGATATTCGCGAACTCATCGCTAGCATGCCTAGAAGGGTCCTTGCATTAAAAAAAGCAAAAGGTATGTCAACCAAGTATTAGTTATTAAATTTGTGAC